AAATCACTATCACTCAGTCGGCCTGGCTGTAGCCATAATGGACAAGACACAACACCCTTTGCCAAGCAGCTGCAGAGCCCTAACAAGGCTAATTGACTACCTAAGTGCCTTTTGCATCCTATGCCAGGGTTTACATCTTTTGAACATACAACATTTGTGAAGACATCTTAGAATTGTCTTCTGCACTGTATCATTGGTGGGTATATCATCAGGACAGGACACACCGCTACTACCCTCATCGCAGCGCCGGATCCGTTAAGCAAAATGAAGCACTTGCTGTGGTGCTAATTTTCAGAACTACAAAGATTTCGTACTTTTATTCAGTGGCAACTGACAATGGTTAGTGTATTTTTAAAATAGGCCTTCTATTTGCTGCTCTTCATTCAAAAATGAGCTCATTGTACACACGTCTACAGGAGAAAAAAATGCATGTGCTTTGGACGAGAATTACAGAATCACAGAATCACACAGAATCACAGAATTTCTAGGTTGGAAGAGACCTCAAGATCATCGAGTCCAACCTCTGACATAACACTAACAAGTCCTCCACTAAACCATATCCCTAAGCTCTACATCTAAACGTCTTTTAAAGACCTCCAGGGATGGGGACTCCACCACCCCCCTGGGCAGCCTGTTCCAGTGCCTCACAACCCTTTCAGTAAAGAAGTTCTTCCTAATATCCAACCTAGATTAGAAATAGATTTCAGCAGCCATGCTCACATGCATTCATGAACGCCCCAGAAACAGTTCTATCCTGCTCCCCTTTATTTTCAGCCCAAGCACCTATCTTACAGAAGATAAATGAGGTAAATGGAGGTGCCAGGTAATAATCAGGCATTGCAAAATTTGGCAAAATTTAAGATGGACAGAAAGTGGGATGCTACAAGATGTCTGTTTAGGAAAGTTATTCTGATTTAAACAACAACCACGTGTTTAAACAGAACAAATCCAATAAATTCTAGATTTTCATAACCCTAAAAAGGCCACATTTACATTATTCAAAACTACTTTTGATCAGTGTAGTCCAGACTTAGGAAAAATCAGCAATATCCACGAGTGCACGGTGCTCTGATGCTGGTGAGTAAAATCATCTGATGCCACCCTACTTCAGTTACTAATTCCTTGCCCAAGTGTTGGCAGGACGTATTTCATACCAACTTTTTGTGTGTCTATAGGTTTATATAGCAAGAAGACTCCCACCATACCTAACCCGTAACCGTAATGTTTCTTCTTGTTGAGTTTGGTGCTAGTGAAATTTCTGAACGTAGTTGTTAAATATCTTGGTCTATGCTCTCAGTCATACAGCCTGAATGCTGATTTTTGGGTAGACCTGGGTGGAGCCAGGAGTTGGACTTGATGATCCTCGTGGGTCCCTTCCGACTCGGGATATTCTATCATTCTAAATACTTTTAGTAGCACTTTCTTTACAACACCAGAAGTGAGGGAGAAGAATTCCAGTTCTAAAATGAACTTTAATTTTGCTGACCGTGGAAGCAGAATACAATTGCGCCATAGTTTCATTTATGGTTTGTACATTGGATTCTTTTAAGAAAGCAGAGCACCCAGGCTAGGAATCACCCTCTGGAGGCGAGGGCCAAATCTCACCCTGGAGAGCTGCTGAGCTACGGACGAGGAGCTCTCAACACCCAGGGCAAGGTGAGCAGGAGAAGTGAGAGGTAATGAGCGAAGAGGTAACAAGCCCGGTGTTCAGGCAGGGATTGCCAAGATGAGCAAACACAGACAGGCCTCCAGGTGACGGAAAGACCTTCCCAGTGATAAGAGGAGGCTGGGCAGACTTTGTGGCAACCTGCTACGTCAGTGGATTAACTCAAAGGGAGACGGAAAGGAAGGAAGGAGCTTTCCGCAAGGACAGTGCGATGAAAGAAATATGTTTGCTTTTGGTTTTTCCCCTCTGTCTCATCTAGTCACTCTGTGCTTCTCTTAGTAAAAAAAAAAAAAAAAAAAAAAAGGTAATTATTGTAGTTTAGATTACAATCAAATCTACCCTGAGTTTCAAAAGTCTTTTTGATCAACTTTGAGGAGCTCCCTATGACCTGCAGGCGCATACAAGAGGTTTGGCTGACTTGGTAAGATAAATCGCTAACGCTTTCTGTTGTCATCTCTTGACATTTACTGTGCATCTTCTGCTTGTTCACTAATGCTTCCACCATAAAATCATGCTGAATGTGAGAATCTCAACTATCGCTCTCAAAATTTTATGCTATTTGCACTTATGGTACAGCAGAATCACACTTATCCGAACATGAGGCTGGAAATACTGCTCAGGAACACTGTACTGGATTTTATGATTGTCACTTGGTTTACTTGTTTATCCTTCCTCATACGTCTGCCAAGATTACATATGCTTAGAAGAGAAATATAGATTTAAAAGAGCCAGAGTATTATGGATTAAAGCTTTCCTTTAAAGCACAACATAGGTTTTAAGATTTTTAGAAAGGCATTTGAAATTAATGAAAAATCTCTGAATATCAGTATTTTTATAGAGATTTGTATGCTCGATGTATCATATAGAACTGAATTAATGAATCCTCGCAACACATCTCCAAGAGCTGCATCTATTCTATCCACTGGAACAGTAATTCCATGAACTGGTGGTAAATGGTGATAAATGCTGCAAGTGTTAATAGCAGTTATTCAAAGGTGACTAATTGTGAAATACTTCCAGTAGTCAGTAAAACCTTCCCAGAGTGTAAACCAGCGACCACTTCAGAAATAGCTGTAGCAATCTGAAATAGCGCTAACCTAGGACATTTATTACAAGGCCCACAGCTGAGCCGTGCTGGTCAGAACAGAGCTGCCCATCTGTGCCAGCAGAGCCAGCTGGATTATTTGAAATCCCTGCTTTAAGAGACTGATTCAGCTGACTGCGCTGGGGGCTCTTTCATGTTCATTTTGCGGTGAGTCCAATCCTGGAATAAATACTGACAATCACTCACAGAACACTCAAAGAGTTTCCCTAGATGTCTCACCAAAATAGTGGAAGGATACTGCTGTGACCCTTTCAGACACTGATGACAGTATGGATGTGTTTTAAAAGCAAATTGGAAATAAAATATTAAATATTTAAATAAATATATATAATTATACACATACACATTGATTGGAGGTTTTCTCCCACCTCCACATCTTTCTTCCAATTTCAGTTCATAGGTGACCTCCACACCTTATTTCCAATTTTAGTTGATAGGTGATTTGAAGTTATTATTTTGAAGGAAATCAAGGACACTTCTCCTCTTGCTACTTAAATCTGTTGTGAGTAAAACATCTTTCCATAGCAAAATAATTACAGAGGACAGGAAAGGAAATTGTGAGAGAAAGCTCTTATCACCGTTTCATTTCTTTCTGTGCAACACATCTCCAAATAGATGCCACACATCCTCACCTACTTTTCACAATCAGCATCGTTTAACTAAGAAGGCAACAGGTGTTTGGACACGGGCTTCAACAGACCCTGTGACTCCATTGCTTAATTTACACCTTAAATTTGCACTGTCCTGAAATTTCCTTTTACAATGCCTAATTAACTTCTCGCATGAGCCAGAAGATGCTATCTCGTCTGTATGTGCAAGAGCTTTAGGGCTCTTCATTACTTTAGAGCTGAGAATTTTATAATTTTCATACACACACCATAAAAGCTGCACCTGAAAGCTAAAGGTTTCTTAATAAAGTGTTTTGCAGACCTTACTTTGGAATGAAGCAGGTTGAAACCAGCCATTGTGGCTGACTAAGCAAGGATTAGAAACTGGATGCCAGCAGCTGAGATAAATGGATGGCCAATGATAAGGGAGCTTTCTCGGAAGAGCAGAAAGGATGGTAACGGCTGATTGAAATTAAAAGGAAAAAAAAGGATCAGGTACCATAAGACAAGTGGGCTGGAAGCACCACCATAATTACATTTATATTTTTCTGTATTGTTAACAGAAAGTTTAAAGCAGTTAAGTACAAATTAAGTACACTGATAATAGAAGTTTAATAGTAAATTCTAAGACTTTACCTCTTATCTTCTCATATAAGGAAAACCTGATTTTTTTTTGTTTATTCATTCTAACAAATTAACCAAAAAAACACATCTTAAAAACTAGTGCCGGCTATGGTATATTTGAAAAAGAAAACAAAGAAATGATTTTGCAAGGAGAGAGAGTTACATGGTTGTAATTTTTTCTGTCATAAGTATTTGTTTTATGCATTCTGCATATACTGTTTCCATACCCTGCAGATCAAAAGCAAAATTACACTTGTATGGTTTTTTTTTTTTTTTAATACAGGCAGCAATGTAACAAACAATTTCCAGACCTAAAATGCAACCTGAACACAGTGAAAGCAAATTCAATGCATAAATTTTCTTTCATTAAAAGTAACAGGACACTTACAACTATTCCTTTTTACAAAAGCTACAAACCTACAAAAACTTGGTAACGTTCCTTTCAAAATATTTAAAAAGCGATTGTAAGCTATGAAGTTAGTTGGAGTCTAATATAAACACTTGGTGTCGAAGACCTGTTGCAACTGAATACTTGAGTGGGAGCAGTAAAATGAAGCAACTTATTATGAACAGTTTTAACAGCGCTCTAGGGTAAAGCTGTTATGGTCCTATTATGTTTTGGAACTGCTGGAATATAATTTGAATACATAAAATCAACCCACACCTATCAATCAGTAGCCCAGATCAAACACCTCACGAGTATTTGTATCTTTGCTGAAATCCAGTTAGAGCTGCTAAAAGACAGGCATTCAAGTTAAAGTGATAGAAGCAACAATTTTACATGAATGGACACTGATCTACAAAGGTAAATGAGCTCCAAAGGTCTGCCATGCAAACCCTGTACCTTACAAAAGGCTGATATCAGCTGTACTAAATTGCAGTCCTGCTACACACTCCAAAAATCAAGCAGTGCTCAGGAATATGAACTAACAGGATTTTTTATATTACAAGACAGGCAAAGAATTACACTGCAGAGGAAATGTTAATGAATACCTACCGTATGTGCAAATCATTTTACTAGCTTCTCTGAAGAGAAGAATTCCATTTGGAGATGATACATCAAAATTTAAACGTTGTGATCTAAAAAATAACAGCAAAAATATTCAGATGGTCATCGAAGCAGAAAACTGCAATGGATTCATTCCCTAAAACAAAAAAACACGTATTTGCTGATTACAAAGTACACTTACTTGATAAATTATTTCTAGCTTTCAGTCCAAAGATGTACACTGTTTCTTAGGCAACAGATTTAGATAACTCATCATGTGATAAAATACAAAAAGAAAATTAACCAAAAATAGTGACCGGACTATGTGTATTTCCTTATGCAGCGACTGGTGAGTATCTTGTGCCTTATATAATCCAGAAGAATGCTGCAGATTTTCTACGATCCAAGTAGTTAGGCTAACACCTTGCTTCTGTTCAGTTTTTAAAATCAGCTAAACCCCACTGGTTATTCTGCTACATAAAATCCGTGGCCATCGTGAGACAGTTCTCCAAGTGTAAATTGCAGTAAGCACTTTCCATGAACATTCAGACCTGAAGAAGACCAAACCATGTCGTCTCCCCTAATGCAAATGCTTCACCAAAGCCAGCAAAAACATTTTGTTCCCAATTTGGAAACACAGCAGAGCCCTTGCCTAAGTTCCTGTTGTATCTTTCTATTTTTTTTGTGATAAAGAAGCCTAACTTCTAGTTTATGCCTAAATGAAAACCATTAAGTACTTAAAAATTAATTTTCAACACAGATCTTAAGCTTGAGTAACTTGCAAAGTTACCCTAAGTGTTTATTTAGACCAAAAGGGAAAGGATACATCACTGAGTGATGTACAATAGGAAATCCCCTGGTGACCTATTTGGTAGTCCTCACTTTTGATGGTATGTGTAGTACTTGTACAACCCTTGTCACAGAGAGGGGCAGGCATCTTTCATTCCTGCAAGTCCAATTTTTTTTTTGTTTTCTGAACCCGTATCTGCAGGGTCCTGCGCTGCAAATTCTGGAGTAAATCTGTGTGTTTATAAATAAATAAACGTGCCTTGTATAAAACATTTGTGTATTCCATATGCACGACATGATAATGGCTTGCAGAGGCAAAAAACAACAACAAAAACAGCACATCTTCTCAATGTCAGAGTGGCATAATGCACAATCTGATACTCTGTAACATATTTTAACCATGTCAAAGTATATTGTATAATGCATTCTAACCTGTAAAAGCTAATGCAGTACACAACTCATGAAGAACTCCATCCCAGATGATGTTTTCTAAAGGGAACAAGGCAGATTTTCTGAATACCAATAGGCAGAAGAATAACATGAATATGGAAAGTAGCTTGAAGAGCCATCTTTTGCATAAGATTTATTGTTCCAGTTCCTCTTTGCTTTCGTGTACTATTATTAGAGTTCTGTGTTTAGGTTTTAACAATCTCCTCCTTGAAATGTGTTGCAGCCCCATTAGAGCATACTGCTTGTGCCTTGCATCATGAATAAAAATAGGTTCAACTTCTCCAGCCTTTATTATACTACGACCAGGACAGAAGACATAATGAACCTACACAAACCGAAGAGGAAGTCACAGCGAGCAACTCAACACAAACAAGCAGGGAGCTCTGCCTCAAGGTCTGTGTAGCCATTGAGGGATTAGGAGTACATCGCACACACTCGCGCTTGACTGGGAGCCAACTCGGAACAAAGCACCAATTTCCTATCCCTAGATTAAACTAAATATTTTTTCAAACTTCAAATATTGCAACTTTTGTTCTTTGTAGTTTGATTTGCAAGGCAAAATGAAAAGCGGTGAGAACACATACTTGTCTGCTGAAAACCCTAATTACTTTGGTCATGAAGATAACCAGTACAGAGACATTACGTATCAATTTTTCATTTCAAAGTCTTTTTTTTTTTTCCCTTCCTTTGGGCAATACACTAAATATTTCTAAGTGTAATGATAGTTTCCCCAAATAAATTGTTCTGTTAATTGTGGTAAAACAAAAATTTCATTCTAACACCTGCAATGCAAAGTATTGACATCACCTCCCAGAATTGTTCCGAGGTCTCTTTAGCGAGCCCATGGAGAAGAAATTAGACATGGGAGAAGTTACCTACAAGTTGGTTATAAATATTGTTGTATTGGATAATATTCTTTCCTATTTTGGCTAGAAGAGTTGAGCTAAGGAAAGAAACTGTAAAGGGAGTTGCAGTTTAAGAAGTACATATGTACACTTGTGCTTGGCTTAAGGCAAAAATTCAGCCTGCAGCAAATCTTGACAGTAGACTATTTTCAAATATTTAATTATAAAGTCAGAATTTAACTAGCTTTTTTTTTTTTCTTTCCTAGTTAAAGCATACAATTCCACTAACAATAAAAATCACAGCAGTCTCTCTCTCTCACACATTCCCGTTGGTCAAACAATACATTGACACTGAAAGCTGAGCTCTGTTTGTTAACTTTGCTCCAAAATACAAAAGTAGCAGTGTTAAGGACAAAGTCAGACATCATAAGGATCAGCAAAAGACAGAAAGACAGGATGCAGAATGCATACCACTGCAGTATTCATCACTTACATGATTCTCACGTGATTCTTACCTGTTTTGCATGAATTCTGCCATCAGCTTCAAGATAGGAGTTGTACATGCAGGTTCCTGGTACCACAATTCAATAGCTCTTTGCAGAACAGAAATGTATGCAGGGTATCTTCACCAAAATTAAGGTTTGTACTGACAAAACGTCTTCCAAAACTTCCCCTAAATCTAAACTACAGTGTCAGATGGGTGGGCCAGATACAGACCCTGACAGCTCCTTCTGGCAAGGAGACTACCAGAGCTGTAACAAAGGAAAAGGAAAACGTTTTGTACACATTAAGCGAACTTACCAGTATAGATATGAGGTTGACTTTTAATGAATGGCAGAATTTAATTGCATTTAAAACTAGAAAAATTTACATATCAGCAAATCCTAGGGTCCACAATTTCAGTGCCACCTCCTATGTACTGCATTTGCTATATAGTGGTTGGGAATAGCTTCCTTGCATGAAGTTTGTTTCCAGAGTATTCAAGAAAAAGAATTCAGATAAACTGTGCGGGGGAGGCCAGGAGTTAGATTTCTAAGAACTCTTTCAGGAGGGCTGTTTGCTCGTCAGTACCCAAGAGATATCAGTTCTGCTAAAGCAGGATTTGAAAGAATGCAATATAGGAATAGAGTCTCGTAGCCTCTGCAATTTAGCTTAAAAAAATCTTATGAGTTACTGCCTGTATCAAAATATTTGATATGATGATTTGATACATAGCTGACCCCTAGTTTTCCCAACATGCTGAGAAAAGGGTTTGGATAAGAATGCAGACTGGTAAATGGAAGTGAGGAAGCACAGCTTGACTGGCAAAGAACTAAACAGTTTTTATGATACTGAACCAAGAGATTCTAACTGCAATTTGCTATTAAAATATGATCAAGCCAATATAGTCAATGGTATTATTTAATATTAAATTTATTTTTCATTTCTAACTTTGTTTCATCTCATATAATTCTGCTTTATTTAACTGACTGCACTAGAAATAGTGACTATTCTTAGGAAAATGCTATTGCCTATTCAGAGCATAAAGGCAACTACTGTGAATCTTACCAAGTAGAATACATGCCAAGCACTCAACACTGGATCGTGAAATAGAAGTCTGAAATGTGTAAAGGTTTACTTGCTTCTAGGATATGTGGACAGTCATGTCCCAATTCAATACAGCTCTTCTGGTGAAGGCAAAGCCCTCACACATGGCACTACTGATGAATGACAGTGCTGTGCAGACAGATGGAAGGCATTCTGGCTACTGCTGTCTGTCTGAGGCATCTAAAGACTCTTGCATTTTTGCAGCCAGCTGCTTGAGGCACTGTAGGCATAAACTCTATATAGCAGAAAAGGTTGATGCGAAATAGACTTCTAGACCTTGTCTCTCTCTCCTTTAGGGAGTTCTTTACATTTTAAATTAGACAAATTAGAGCTAAACATACTATGGAGAGTTATTCTGGAATATACATGGATTTAAATTCAAGTTCCATTTGCCTAAAATACCCTCAAAGGGCACAGATGATCCATGCCATCTCATACCTTTATAAATTCACTAATGCCAGTTGAATTTTTATCTGAGGTGGACTTGCAATGGGCTCACTCTCAACTAGAGGATGGCCAAAATACTCACAATACAGCAGATGTCATGTAGGGTACAGAACTGAACTGAGCTGTTGATTCTCCAAAGTCACGCTTCTTCCTTGGTGGAATGCAGCAAAGCCCCATTTTGTAAGTTTGTGGGGTAAAAAACAATTGCCTTTTCAGATTTCATAGAGAACAGAGTAACTTGACAGCCAAATCCACAGCCAGAACATAAGCCAGCCATATCAAAGGCTGCTAATATATCCAGTATGATTGGTTATCTTAATTCAAAAGTTTGAGCATTAAGCCCACATTCACTGTCAAGCAAAGACTGAAGCTGTACTCAAGTTTTATAAATGTTAGGGGTCAACAGAAAGGCTTCAGCAATCTGCTATATAAGAAACCAAACAAATGATAAATTAGCTTTAAAAACAACATTATTTGTGTTTTCAACCACAAGCTTCAAGTGATCTCTCTAATTCAGCAACATAAACTGACCAGTCAGCTTTATTGGTCAAGCTGAAAAGAATGCAAATGGGAAGAAACGATGCTAAATTTTGAATCAACACAACTGGCAGTAGCAGCTATTAGAAACACATTAGTGATCACGTAGCCTCATCTCATTGGAAAAGCTGTTTAAGGAAACATCCATCTGTACAGTTGTTGGGCTCTTTCAAGTTTGTAGTTTTGAATCCTTAAAACATACAGACAATATTTCTGATTCTATTTTTGAAGAACTTTTTGATCAAGCCATCTTACCATTACACACGGTTTTATTTTGTTAAGAAATACCATACAAATTTGGATAAATAAGCATTAATGGTAGTTTGATTTTTTTTCCTAGTGATCCACGCCTGAAGAAGCATATGCTCAAACATCCAAATATCAAGGTCAATTGCAACTTTTAAATGACCATCCGCTAGATAAAGCATCTCCAGGATGGATGAATTCTATAAAGGTAATGGTTATGGTATCTCTACCTATATAGAGATCTTCATAAAAAAGGCACAATATTTCAACAATGTCATGCACTCATGCATACACATCCAATGCTAGTTAGCAGACTGCAACTCTGAGCCAACCTAGTAATGTAATTCTTGCAACCCATTTTCTTATTGCAACCCTTTTCTTTTACAAACAATGTAAGTCATTAAATACTGAAAATCAACTGGGAGGAACAGAGGAAAAAAATGCCTTTGGGTTACCACCTAACTTTAAGGCCCACTAAATGAAAGTAACAAAAAAGTGGATATTACTCTCAACTCACAACTGAATCTCCACGGACTTATCTGACTGCAAGACCCAGGACCCTTAAACTACAGCCTCACATTAGTATGTAATAAAACAGATTAAACATTCAAAATCTCATCCAGGCTCTCTTGAAGTAAATAACAGAATGAAACGTACCATTAAGAAAATCGGACTTTGATTCTACTCAAATTGGCATGGGGGTTTTCTGAGGCCTGAACACCTGCATGTTTGAGGACTGACCTACAAATTACAGAGACCAGATGTTATGATTACAAAAGGCAAATAAACTTTCCAAAGCCATGGTACTGGAATCATCATTGACAGCTTGACATATCAATGTTTCGGGAAGAATAAATGACTTTCATATCCTTTTTTTTCCCCCCTTCTTTTTGTTTGTTTGTATGATGTTTTCCTTCATCTTTCATTACTGGAACTCTTTGGGAAGATGCTATACTTAACACCTAAAAATGCTTAAAATATTTGGAAATATTTTAATGAAGTCTTTTGAGAGATCACCTAATGCAACTTTAAAACAAATTTTACTATTATTATCAGTATTTTCTCTTCATCCCTTGCCAGAGGAAAACTATAAATCTTGTCTCAGCTGAATGAACACCATTTATCATATTCATTTTCTTGTCAATACAATTATGAAAAGCCTTTGGCCTTTTTCCAAGGAGCCTGATTTGCTAGAGAAACTCAATTAGTATAAGCAAGCCTGCTACAAAACAGCCCTATTTGGCAATCTAGTGCAGCTTCAGCATACCTGACGATTCACCTCTAAAGCACGATCCTAATAACTCAATCACAATGGCAAAAGAGAGCATACAATGCTGTTGTCCTCCCCCGCTCTCTGCAAGACCAAAAGGACTTAAAAGAGATTATTTCTGCTCATTTTTGCCATCTACTGGACAAAAGTTAAATCCTAAACACTTAGGAAACAACACTCGGGGAAAAAAAAAAAAAGAAGAATCGCTCACCTGAGAGAATACTAAGTGTAATTTGTTTAGTTATGGACAGGGATCAGCTCCAAAGTATCTCCTGCAATCACTTGGAAAGTTTATCTATGCTGCCTTCTGCCAGTGATTTACAAATGATTATTTCTGCGTGTCTTCAGTACAGAATTATCGTCATCTTATGGTATTTAAAGCCAAGGCTTTTATCCCTTGCCTAACTGTATTATTTATTTACCGAACAAATGCAAGAAAATCAGATTTATTTTGGCTAATATTCTGTATCTGCTGTTTTTAATACTGAAAGACTAGGGCTTAAAATATTACAGAATAAAATCTGTTTGCAATACAGCTTGTACTTGGTATATTAAAACCAATTTTTAATTTTCTGATGCTATATTTGAAACTACAAAAGAAATATATTAATCAACGGACATTTAAACTTAATATGATAAAATCAGCATCTGACTATTCCTTCTCTTCCCATTTCCCTTTCTGTCCTTATATACAGTAAATAAGAGCTAAGATAATAGCAGCTTATTCTGCTGTAATTCCCTGGATCAATATTTGGATGAAGCTGGACTCAGCCAAATGAGGTGAAATCCACTGAACAGAAGCGTGCATTTACCATTTACAGCCAAAGGTGGGAAGGAAAGAATTTTTAAACCTGTGCAAGGCAAAGGTAACTGAGAAAGCCTGGGCTTTGAACGGCACAAAGACGTATTTTAGTCTGTTTATACTGTTAATACAGATTAATGAAATCTCCAGAATTTAGGCTGTTTTTATTTTTTTTAAATTAGTTTAATTCATAAAATAGAATTTATAAAATATTTTAAAAAATCACTCAGAAAAGGGTCCTGAGGATTACATATCCTAGATCCTTGCATAAAAAACCTCCTCCATGTATGATATGAATCTTTTTTTTTTTTTTTTTTTCAGACGGAGAGGAGGTAAGTCTCTCTTATACCTCCCTCTACAGCTGGAGATTTGTACTTCTGCACAGAACAGCACGATACTCATACTGCACTAGGAAAAACAAAGTAAAAAATTTGAAATTGATGCATTACTCATCTACTTTTATACATTGTCCACCTTCTATTATTAAGTCTTAGGGTAACATAAGCACAAACAGTACTAATGAAGTTAAACGTACCCCGATGGTGCCTACTAGAAAATGAGATGCTAATTCACAGTCTGGCTTCGGTAGGTATTTTTTTTTTCTCCAGTCCTCTAAAACTGAAATTAAGTAATGCTTTCCACTGATTTTTCAGGGAAATGAAGATTATACTGCCTTCTGTTTTGGATTTTCTTTTTGCAAGCTGTGTCACGCAAGCAGAGCATGCACATGGAGAGAATCATTGCTGGCTTGTGAAGCTCTTAAAAAGGGCTTATCTGAATTCTGTGGTCATCAGAATTCTACCACCCACCACATAAGGACATCTACCAGATCCTACCAGGCTTTGTTGGACAGCCTTTAAGTCCTCTCAGGCTAACTTCCTAGCCAGAATTTCTGATAATGCATTCCTCTTTTATACTCCCCCAAAAATAAGTGAACAGCAGATTTTCATTATGTACTCAAAGTATTTTTAAAAGCTTGATTTCTAATAAAACATGCAATTATACTTTAACATTTTTTTTTCTGTCCGTAAAATAAACAAATGCATAATTCACTTCCACAGCTTTGAGAACTAAATTATAAAACCCGTAATTTCAGTTACTTCACTACATATTGCAGTATTTTGTTACTAATATGACTGTGTGCCTAAAAAGAATTACAGCTACTGTATTTATGAAAATACAAAACATTTCTCTAAGTATTAAGAAAATACCCGTGAGTATTATCATATTTCTTGGCATAAAAATGTATACAATATTGAAAGCAAATAGAGCTGCATTATCATTATTTATTGAAGAAAGCTAGAGCCTAAAGATTTTGATTTTGTTTTCAGACGTCCATTTTCTTCTGATCAAGAAGACTGCAGGTGTTGTGATATTAATAGATTTGACATAAATAGAAAGTAACTGACTAAATTAAAGACATGATTCATACCAGAGAGAGAAATCTCCCCAGATAGCACTTGTATAGTATTTTTTTAAGCACTTTTGATGTTAAACCAAATGTAGGTACATTGTGCTTTGAGTTAAAGACACAGCTTTCTCTTTGTGAAAACATTATGGATTTATGAAAGGAGAGAAACCATTTGGATATGTTTTCTAGATTAGTAGTGTGACATAACAAAAAAGTGACCTCTCTGTGGTCCTTCCCAGTTAACTGCATGGTTGCCATTGTGCTGTAATTTTAGCTGATTACACATTAGTTCATTTAGCTTTGTTTCCTCTTCCCCACTGTGCCATACTATTAAACTAATGCAAGGGGCCTGGTATCCCTCTGTGCACAGAGCTGGTATTGTCATAGTGTAATAAGGATACATCCAGTCAAACAGCATGGTGTAGCTGGTCTTTGTGTTTAGTGCAAAGGCAATCCCTCGAAGATCTCTTGCCAGCCCGATCAACATACGCTGTCAGTGGGAAAGAGACACAGTAATTGATTTTCACGTTAGCACAGAGCAGATGGAGTAATAATCAGCCAATAATGACCACATATCTGATTTTGATTCATTAGTTTAAATGTCTCGCTCAAATCCTTTTTTATAAAAAGCACAAAGATTCTTTCAACAAACAAGATTTCCACAAGTTTTATAGTGCTAACACTAGCAAAATGCTTAGGAAATGCTTTTGATTATTCAATATCCTATACTAATGAATAATGCAAATTAAAACATAATATATGAACACAGTGTATTAAAGTTTAAGAGTGCTTCCCGCGTTAATATATTTAAAGTAACAATAACAATAAAGCATTAATTTAAGCTTGTAATATTTTAAATGAGGTCTAAGACTAATTGGTACTCATAACAAGCTACAATTAAGGTTACACTGAGATTCTCATTGTATTGTTATTTTAACTTTTTTTTTTTAAGTCATCTTCCAAGTTAGGTTTCTTCAAAAAGTCTTTATTTTATTTACAGAAGACCAAGCTAACATCTATCTGCATTAATGTTAGTTCTGAGATGATTTTTTTCCCCCTTTAGTGACTGAATAGTGGCTTCAGAACCCTTTCAGCTCAAAAGCAGACAACACTGTGTAGATAATTAGCCCCTACTAAAGGGCTGTTTTCAGGATAATTAATAGAAATCATTAAAAAGAATACCAGTGAATGAAAAAATATTTTCACAACACAAACCAACTTTCAAATGTAGTTAAACAACTATTCTCTTTTTGACAATGAACTAGTATTAATAAATTTTATCCATATGTTGCAAGGTGGGGTTTCTAGGGCTTTTCATTATGAAAGACCACAGCACTGCAAAGCTTAGTAAAGAAAAAAAAATCACAGAAGCATGGCAACAAAAAAGTAAGGAGCTTGCTTTTTAAAAACAGAGTTTTCCATAATGCAGCACTTGATGATAATATTGTAATATTTATAGCACTGAGAAATGCAAAAGGTAAGATTCACATATTAATTCTAAATGGTCACATAAAAAGCAAATTACGGCTGATGCCTTGTTAAACTGCTAAATGTAATCTTACACAAGGGCTAATTTCTACTTTTCATATACAGACACATTAGTCCAATTGACTTGGATGGCACACACGTAGATTTATCTGAGGATAAATTGAGTTCCCTACGAAATGCTGGTAAGGTTGCTAGGAGTATTTTAATATTTGTGTTTCCTTTCTGTTGTGCATTGTAATGGCCTGAACTTGCAAGATGCTCAGAGGTCTCAACTCTCATTAACTTTAATGGAACTCTGAAATCACTGGAGAGGAAGTGTTCAATACTGAGAAGATATGACACAAAACTGTAACTTTATCCTTATATTCATCGTATTTTCATACTTAGTGCATTGTTTTGTCCACACAGAAAATAAATATTTAGCAGATAGGGCTGCCAAAACATCAAGAATGAAAAGAACTAGGAGCAACACCTGATACTTCTTTCCAAAGGGGTACAGAGATACAACAGCATATACAAGGAAGCGGAAACCTTCGAGTGATTTTGGATCTTTTGCCCATTCTAGCCACGGAAAATGATGTAAGCAAGACTGCACAAAGAAAAGGCTGATGCAAGGAAGAAGGGGAGCTACAGCCCCTGGCAAGACATGAACTTGCCTTTGTTTGAAGATGCACTCAGAGGGAAAGAACTCGCCATCTTCCTGCGGTCTCTGGAACATGGACTAGATAAACACAACCAGCCAAACACATATTCCCGTAACAGGCTTATTCTGTCTTTATAAAAACAACTGGTTGTAAGAAAACACTCTTTCACAAATGTATTTAGAAAACAAATTGTTTGTGAGCATTATAAACTGTTAATACAACTCAACCTGCAACATACTTTAAACTACGGTTCCAGATTTGTGAGAGCCGATACAAATACCAGGTAATTTCAAACAACATTTGACCTTCAATTCTAAAGAAAGGAAAAAAAAACACTACACATGCTACATTTCTCGGCTTTCTATTCTTTGGCTTCAGATATTGCTATTAAAAAGTCCATACCACTAACCACAATATTCTTAATAAATTACCTCAATCTACAAAGCACCATAATATTCTTAAGCCATAAAACACCAGTGAACTCAGTGGTTTAGTTATTATCCAGTGGAACTCAACTTTAGGACATAACACCAACAGTTAGCAGTATCAGGGCAGCCTGAATCCTGAGATAAATCCTACTCCTGTTAACTGTCTGGCAAAAATACCTTTAAGCTTAATCTGGAACAAAAATCATCCTAAATTCCACATTTGCTTAAGTCACATTTAAAAAGAGGAAAAACAAACCAAGCAACCACCAAGCCTACAAAACTTCTGAGACATTCGAGTTTATTAGTCCATTGCAAGTTTTCAAAGAGCATCCGTATGCACAAGATTTATTAGTGGCAAACAATATTACACACTTGTACATCTACTTTTAGTATGTCCTGCTGTGGGATTGAAAGAGCCCTGCAAACTTAACAGTACAATCTGAGGAATACAGTAAGATAGTGCTTCATTCACAACTAACACCAGCCATTTCTGGGCCAAAGTGACAGCTGATAACAACAACAGCAACTGCAAAACGAGTAAGATGAGAAGTGAAGCACAGTAAATAAAAAACACGTAGTAACAAGAGCTTGTCAGTGGTATGTGGGCTTACACATCGATTTTCTTACTAAGGAAAATTTTGTTTGAATTTCAGTTTCAAAACACTCTTCCCTGAGCACCAAAGAGATAGGTCTCCTTAAGATTAATTAAAACAAACCAATTTTTAAGAATTCTTGCATGTTGGTTCAAAGTCCTGAATAAGATTTTTCAATGGATTTTTAAAGGAAAAGAGAGGATCATTTAAATATTTGCAGGAAAAAAACAACAAACTATGACTTGCCAACATGTGCCAAGTGTCTGACTAACACAATTTAACACAGACGAGACTACTCACGCCACCCACCCCCAAAATGGGGTTTGTAATGGAAAGTCTGACAGACCCTTAACTATAGTGGCACTACTGGGTGCAGCTATAATATTACCCTCATAATTCTACTATATAATAACAACAAAGGAAAAAAAAGGTGAAGGGTCATTGCGCTTTGTCTTTAGAATTAAGATGGCTGTCTTCATCCTTACAGCATACTCTTAATTCTGGAGACACGTCTTAATAACCTCTAAATAGTTCCAACAAAAGAGCCGTGTCAGAGGAATGAGCAGGCCCCAAGGTGTTTCAACTGGAGTGTTTTCATCTGCCTTTATTGCTCTATCCCTCTCCAGAATTAAGGCAATAACCTGTGATAAATTATTCAGGAACTGCTACAGGGATCAAAGCAAAATCATTCTGTTAAAGTGCTGTTTGCAACATTTGGCACTTAGTGTGAAAACTTTTAATGTGTGCAAGCTGAAAATCAAGGATTTTAAATAATTTAACAGCATGGAGTTTCTACAAACCAGCTAAAGATAGCATGTTGCTATTTAACTGCTTTTTCCTCAGATACTTTTTTTCACGCGTTTCTATCAAACCTGATGATGTCACAACCATAAACAAGATACGACAGAGATTCCGGCTACCCAGTCGATATATTACTTAACCAGATTGTCAACAGGAGCCTTTGAAATTCTTAGGAGAAAATTAGCCACTGTTTTAATATTGGACATCTTTCCTATTAATATAAGACTGTGAAGAAAGAACCAGCAAAGGAAAAAAAAAAAAAAGCAAAAAGGAAAGTACATAATTACTTAAGCCATCTTCAATTATATTTGATCTCACTGGAAAAGAAGCCTAAACATATGTTTTGTATGCAGATTTAATGATTACAAATGTATTTTAAAAAGAAAGAGCTCCCTTGCTGTGATTGTTTTTCAATGGTGTATTTCAGAAATATTAAACAAAAACCCTAGCCAGTTAGAAAGTCCTAGTAAAAACCACAAATTAAATGAATTTGGCAGTCCTGGACCATTTTCATAGTGATATTTTAACAGTGTCATCTCCCTGTGGATTGGAATACTAAGCATTTTATTGAAGAACTGAACTGTTTTTGTTTTCAGTACTTGCAAAATGAAGTACCTGAAAGCACTTTTGCATGTATTATTTATTCATCGTGATAGAAAAATAGCTTTAACCTAATAAATTATGTTTAAGAGAATTTAGAGCAAAAGTTTTGTTTATGATAAAGCAACAGATTTAGTTCTTTATCAGTAGCTTAAAGCACCAAGTTTTCTTTATACAAATTAGACAGATGGTGCTTACAGTAGAATTTACTAAAGGTCTGTCACAACAAATGCAGCCAAGCTGCATATTTAATCACTGCAGAACCTTGTCTACCTGCAGCTGCCAACTGCTAATCCAATTTCCCTGATAAATGTGGCAAGAGACACGATCAGCAATAAAGAGCATCTAACTCCATTTTCCTGCAGGGCGTCTTTTGATGAACATTTAGGACGGAAGCACGGAGTGCACTGTGTGGCCCTGGCTTGTGGCAGCTGCATGCATTTTGAAGACACAGTTCTCAGGTTACTCACTTAATTCTGCCACTATCATTATGTTGCTATTGATCTCAGTAGCTCTTGTCTACACAGCATTACTCTAGATGAAGCTGAATCAGGCAGTTATCATGCATCAAACTTGCTCAAAAGCCTGGAGATTTCCCCTTAATTACTTGTGATTTTATTTGCAAATACCGTTAAAGTGTAATCAAGCAGTCACTTTCCAGGGTCGTTAAGAACTTGCTAGTTTAGGAATATATCACTGGCACTCCATTAAAATTTCTCTACTAAGATGGTTTCAAGCAAACCAGACAGGACAACAGCAAAATTATTTTAATAAACTGAACCCTCATGAGGTAAATGCAGTTTCCTACAGAAGGATAATGCTATCCAATGACCACTTTGTTTCAATTTTTAGGATTTTAAACTTTAAAATATAGAAGATGATTCCAAAATAGTTTAACTGTATTTAACAAATGAAACATTATTAAAATCAAATACATAAACAACAAATGAGGAAACTAGAATTAGGTAAATATTGAAATAATATCTGGTACTACTTACAAAAATAATAGCTCAACTCCAGTGATTATTGTGAATTGTGCATCTTCTTGTAATGTGAGAGATATATTGCATATAAATTATTTATTAAATATTTCTAGCGTATTTGTTTATTTTCTTATGAAAATAAGTAGATTAAAGTGGCGACGTACATTTAACTTTCCATTATCTCATGAAAAAAATTACAGTGGTGAATTAGAAATTACTGTTAGGGTGTCTTCAAAATTACCCTGCGTAGCTAGAGCAAGCACTCCAGTGTGCATTGTTAACTAGTTATGCAGTGACAGTAGAAGGGGCTCTCTTTAATGCAATAGTGTTTTAAGTATTATCATTCCTGATGATGCAGCTTGCATCTAGCAAATCTTTTTCTTCCCTAAAATATACTGTTGTTTTGACACAAACAGCTTGCTACACTTAAGGATTTTACTAATAAAACATAATGTTGTGTTAGATATTATGACTGTTGCCACAGCTGAACTGACTTGTCAAATCAATCCTAATATGGCTCCCACAGGCACATAAAAACCTTATTTAGCTATCAGTTATCCTAATCACTTTGTTCAGTTTAAGGGTGCAATACTTCAAGACCAGTTCCTATTTATACATATATGCCCAGCCATTTAATAAAGTCTTGATTTATATAATAAATTCTTGTTTGAAAAAAAATACTTTAAAGCAGCAGTGTTTTATCAAGTGTGTTACAACATGTCTCCTTATACCCCCAAATAAATATGTTAATACACACAAACAGGATACTAACATGGAAAAGGGAAATGTTACATACAAAACAGATAAACTATCACTGAAGAAAAATGTATCCCTCTGATTATAAACGGGGCTCAAATGGGGTCACTTGATCTGTAAGCACTGAAAAATCCCAAAGCTTTTATCAGATATTTATACAAGGTTTCTTTTAGGATAGTCATTCATGGTTTTTGTATCCCTGTCGTCTACATTCTTAATTATATATATGTATACAGGTATTAATATACATATAAGTATACACATATATGCATTTCAACAGAGACAGACAAAAGAAAGATGACAATCTGTTGCTAAATGCTCACCCAACTATCATTTTTTTTACACCAATAACTTATTTCCCTGTAATTGAAATAAACCTACCTTTGCCTCTTCTTGTTCAAAACTACTGTTGAATATCTGAGTCACACTTTCAAATGAAACTGTGAGAGGCAGCATGAAATTCTCAAATTCATCCTCGTCTTCACCTACAAGAAAAACAAAACAAAACAAAACAAAACAAAAAAACAGCAAAAGCATCAGATCATATTCACACCATTGTTCATAAGGGTCAGTCTCTTAAGCTTTTATAGAAAAATCTCACTGACATCATCAGAATTTTCAGAAGAACTACAGGAACAACAATTTGAGGTTTGACATTTTTTACTGAGCTATAAACAAAAGACAAACTGTTGATCACAAACAACTTGTATCTGAAACAAGCACGTCTCCACATTTCGCACCTTTATCCTTTTCATATTTCTGTTTTCTCTGCTAATCTGACAGCATTTGCTCAATACACTAGAAAAAACACTCACAAAATATAGATGAGACTCAACAGTTAGAAAATGTTAGATTTAAAGTTGCAATAGTAAATTAGACCATTCCCTGTGTATACTTCACAGGACAATGTTTAAATCACAATGTTTTATGATGACATGCTATCTTTTCTACTTCCGATCTATTTAGTATAGGATGAACCTGCCATGGAAATAAATCTGGCCTATGCTGGGGTTATTTGTATCACATCATCGTCTCATTTGTTTCAGAGGTGTGAATTTGGAGTAAATGAGCAAAATGTTGTGGGAATGGAAAAAAAAAGTGATTGTCTTGGCTAGACAGCAGGAAGACTGGTCTGCTTCTTTGCCTTGTCATGATGCTGAACATCTCATTATAAACAACAAAAAGTTTTTATAAATGGCAACTTGCATGGGAAGTGGTACTTGTGCTACTCGTCTTCAGGTGTTTAACAAGGGTGGCTTGCCTCTTGCATGCTAATTCCCCTCTAGAGCAATGCAGAGTAGGAACTAACTTAAGTTTTTTAAAGAGTTCTTTGCTATAGGGCTTCTCTCCCTTCTCTTTTCATTGGCTAATCAAGCCTGGGGAAATCAAGATAGAGAGGAAACAGTTGTGTACTTTGCCCTGGGCATCTATAAACAGTCAGTGTCAAACACAACACCTGGTCCAGACTACTCCTTGAACCAACACTAGGAATTTTTTCATTCTCTGCTTCCCAACAATATCATTAATTCTGGACTCTTATTTTCTGGGCAACTGATAGATGAAACAGACATATGCTAAGTTGCAACTGAAATTAGCTGAGTCTTTTGCGCATAAAAATAGTTGCACAAATCATAGAATGGCTTGGGTTCAAAGGGATCTTAAAAGATCATATAAATCCATTCCCCCTGCCATAAGCAGGGATGCCACCCACTAAACCTACAAACCACCACCAAACCTAGCATAAGCTTTACAAATTTATTTATTTTCTTCATATGCTCATCTGCAAATGGGTTTAATTCCAGCTTCCTATTTCTCAGGGATACTGCAAAGATCAAAGCACTCACCCAGAAGAGGCCAGGAAGAAAACTTCTGTCTTCAAAACAGAACATACTGACCAACACACAAATCCAGGCGACAACCCAGAAAAAAATCTACTCAGTAGTTACTCACTAAGCTAGGATGACACATCTGAACTGAAAGAGGCAAGTATCTGCTGAGAGAAGTAACTGTGATCCTACAATTAAAGCTGTCTCATATCAACATATATATTTCCAATGGAGAGGAAATGGAAGTTTCATAGTCAGACCCAATTATGGCATTTTCTCAATTCTGAATACTCGGCTTTGTGACCTAAACTGCTTCCTTTTCACATAGGACTTCCACGTCCAGCTTTCCAGATTTTTTTTGAAAAGCAAAAGAAACACTTCCGATAACTTAAGTGTGCTGCATTGGTCCACAACAGTATCAGAATGTTCAAATAGCAGACTATGTTCAAGCAACTATGCACCCTGCACGTGCAGAACTAGGGAGGCTCAGACACTTCGTGGCAGCTTTCAAAGCCCCTGCTGGCAGCAATAGGATTTGGTGGACTTTGGGAAATGGGACTCTAATCCCATCCATCTTTGCCTGTCTCCTTTGCCATCTCCATTCCTTTCAACCCAAGTCAGTCTTTTTATTTGCCATTTCTGGAACCTTTGTGAACTTCCCCTTGTTCATGGTAATCTCAGACCATTCATCCAGCTTTTTCTATCTACCTCCTTCCTTAGCCAGCTCTAGTTCCTCAGTCAATTCCAATACAGTATTAGTTTGTGCTCCTAATTTTTGCTCAACCAGAGCTTCCTCTTACGCTCCTAGAAGTTAAACATTTACCGATCATATTATTTTCTATTTCTTTATGTATTGTATATCCTGATGCTTTTCCTCTTAATTACATATCCAATTACTACCTAAACATTTCTTCCACATTCTCATCCCGTGAGCAGCACAGTATTAATGAGGAAAGGAAGAAACTATGCTAAACAAACCTACCATGGTAAATTGTTCATTTGCTATAATTCAAACTACACATACATATCCTCGCTATGTCCTTTGGGAAGGAAAAAAATTGCATCACTTGTTCATTACAGTAGGTCTGTGTGTGGCTTAAGGCAATAGTGTTTTAAACCTGCTTTACTTGGAGAGGTTTGGCACTGAGCATGACTGCATATACCTGTAAGTACAGGACACTGACAAATCACGCAGAATAGCTCCTGAAGGAATTTTCTACAGTTTAGATCTACTGCTTTTGGTAGTGCAGAAGAAAAAGAAAGAAGTGATAAAAATTTATTAATCCTTATAAAAAACTTTTATTTAAACACAACTTTTACTGGTGTTCTTCTATTAGTTTTGGTAACTATGTAATTCACACACAAGAATATTCAGTTTACTTTAGTAATCTTGGACCAAGAACTAGTTGGACAAAATGGTGCAGTTCCCCCCAAAATTATTAAAAACACAACCAGGGGCACACAAATATCAAAGTCTAATTATATCAATACAACACTGAAATTATCCAGCAGAAACCCAAGTGCATTTTGAAGCAAATACTAAATAATACTGAATAATATACTAATAATATACTACTGATTTTTCCTAATACAGTTTGATTTTGCTATTTACTCCAAGAGAACGTTGTTTAAAATGTAAATATTCTGAATTTACTGTATTTCATTCATCCCCCCAAATAATTCTATATCAAACTATTACTCAGAACAGCCCAATTAATGATAATTCATCTTCATATTATTCCCACATAAATAATTTAGATACATCTCAAGAAGATTACATACAAAGTTCTTGTAATTTGAAAAAGCTGGAGAATGCAATTGGTACAACGCTTTTTGGTCTAAAAATGCTGCTATGCACAGTTTGAAAAATCTTTTTATTCACAAGTGTACTGTCACTTAATGCTTGCACTAACACACAGAAAGCACAATGCGTATACTTTTAGTAAAGTATACTTTACTTTTTAAATTTGGATCCTAACATGAAGCTCACACTTGTTTGTTTCTATAGATGTGTTTTTGTTTTTTTTTTAATACCAATTCAAATCCAAATTTATTCCAGTAGGAACAAAAAGGACAATAGCCAAAAGTGCAATGCACATTTTCTTCAGATACTCCTGATCATTTCAGATCTCATAGAGTTGTCAATCCAGAAGAGTCACAATGATCTATTAACTTGAAGCCAGTCATAAGTCACAAGCTTGCATTTTGCTTGTCTGGCGTATCTTTACACAACCTGTACTCTGAGATGTAATTTTTAATACTTGCGATCCTGTTTTTACCAAATCTTTATTTTTTCTCCCCCACAGAAGAAGCTACTGAAACTGCATGTGTAACCTACTTTGCATTAGAAAAATATACATACTGCTTATGTAAATATTACACTTAGCCAGTATTGAAAGCCTTTTAACTGCAAGTGATCACAGGTCCAGCTCACAATTGCCATTCTTAAAAAAAAAAAAAAACAAAACCCAAAACTGATGAACATAGTTTGGTCTCATCTCCAACTCAACTGTTTTCAGAAGCATTCAGTGGCAGACACTACAGGAATCCATTATCATCAATGGGAATCTCAGCTACTGTTGGCTTACAACGTTGTGTCCATCTTCTGCCCATATGCTGTCTAGTCAAGTCCTTGTATGAGGATTAGAAATCAGCATACAAGAGACTTGCCACCTTATTTTTGGAAGCCCTCATCAGTGGCCCACTCTAAGAACAGGTGTCCACACTCATGAAAGCATTCTATAAGGCAGATCCTTAGCTGACACAGGTCTACAACCCTGAATTGGGCCTCTTATCAGAACTGAGGCAATTTGAGACATGCTGCATTCTTCACCATCAGCTTCTCTAACACATGATTTGTTTCAGTGTTCATTTCAGCAAGCCCAGCCTTCCCCCATCTAGACAAGAAAGAGGTAGGCAATGCAGACGGAGCTCTGCCTTTTAGTCTGCTGGCCAAAGGTTGTGCCTGGATTCCAAGCAACTGAATCCTTTATTACATTGAGCTATTACATTGAGTTTTATATGCATCTAACTGCTCTGATCTCCCAAAAACGTCTCAGGATATAATACCAAGTGCATGCTCAAGTACTGCTGGTTGAACTGCAGAATTTTGGCTACTGTTCTTACAAAACTGAAGGTTTTTGTATATTAGGAACTTGCATGAATAAATGAATTAAAAAAAAATAAAACCAACAATACTTCTACTAGAGGCTGGAAAGTTCTGGCATAACCAGTACATTACCAAAAATCTCAAAACACTTATTTAATCATGTATTTTGTAAATACCTCATATCTGATAAAAGAAGTGCTTCCATGTGGAAAAACAAAAAAACAAAAAAACAAATATCAACTTGTCTTGCTTATTTCTCCAACATAAGGCAACAAATAGGCTGTCATTGCTTAATACCATAAATCTCTAAACTTAATAGGCAGTGATTTAAATACCACTATAAATAAATATTTATTGTACAATTAAACTGCTTTTTAATTAGTTAAATAAACTTAAAAATCCATAGCATTACTAACTCTTAACAAGACAGCAAGGCATCTCAGTGATGTCTGAGGAGGACCTTACCTAAATCTACCATGAGAAGACGAGTGAGAGCAGTGTAGAACATTGTCCGGCACCTAAGGTCACTGAGGCTGTAATTATCACTGATGCCCAAGAAAGGGAAGTGCTTACTCTGTTGAAACACAAGTGTGTGAAAAGTTTAGCATTCTACAAAATTTACTACAAACTTAACATTTGTTAACGTAAGAAAACTTACTGTGTGGTTCTGAAGCATGAACTTCACAGCCTCTATTTTCACAAGTTTTTTAAGGAGACTATAAGTAGCAGGTGTTAAGGAAATAGCAGCCTTGCAATATTGTGACTACATTATCAGGTTGTACAAACTTTCGGGAATTTTTAGTAAGAAAAAAAAAAACTAACTGAAACAACAACAAATGCAAATTTAAAAAAAATATCTTGATTTTCATCTAGAAATATGTCATGAAGATATTCTTTAGTACATTAAAGACCTAATCTATTATTAATTAAAGCAATTACTTTTCATGGCATATATTCTAGTCACAAAAGAGACAAATGAACTAAATGACTTTTATAATTAAACAGAGAGTTTCCGATAATAAATGGTAGTGTGTTTTCCCCAGCCAGCCCCATGTTATCAGCATGGTAGAAAAGAAGCGTTTCTGCAACTGCCTGTGTTGGAGACTGGCCTTGGCAATGGGATGGGCAGCAGCCCTGAGCAGCACCGCAGTCATGGCCTCAAAATCATGGGTGTGATCTTACAGGCCTGTCATTACTTCAGTTACAACAAATAAAAGCGTATCTCATACACGTTCAACTATGGTTAACCACTGAACCAAAGAATTTTCAGATGTTTAAGAAGCAAATGGAATTTTCTTAGGAGCATACAAAGATTCAGAAGCAAAGCCCAACACAAGGTGGTACAGCAGGGAATTTTAGACGTATCTACGGATACTTCCACAGCAATGCCAATTTTTCAACCTTGTACACTTAAAGCCAACCTAACTGACCACTGTTGGGCATTAACTGACTTCCTCCCTTCCACAGACTGGCCAAATGGAAGGCAGTGACGGGGCAGATGACAAGTGAGCACCGCGGTCCGGAGCTAGGCCCCAGCGCCACACTAGCAGAGCTCCCGACTTCTCCACAGCAGCTGCCTGGCCCCGTCCCGTCCCGGTAACCCTCCGTCTGAATGCACCTGCTTGTACACAACGGCTCCCAGGGAGATGCACACCAAGTAACATAAAAGTAACCTATTCTGTATTAAATCAAAAGCTGAACTTGCAAAAATTAAGTTAGAGAAGGCCTTAAAGGTCAAAAGCTCTAGACTTGTTTCGCAAGTTGAATCCTTTCCTAGGTGCAAATTACAAGCATCTTTAACCACATGAAGACATGCTAATTCCCCAGCTCAAATGAACTTGGGCTTGGGGGAAGGAGATAATACCGGCCATTCCAGTAAGCGCCATGACAACTCCTCTGTGAGCTCTTGTTCAGCAGGTGACTGCTGCCACCAGGCATGTCTGCAAGTGAGGAGAGGACATGGGCCAAGCAATGGCCTGGTTTTTCTTACTCCTGCTTCTCCTTCATTTGAAGTAAAATTGCTCTATGACTTTCAGCAAGTCAGTTAAATTCCAGTGTCTCAGTTCTGCATTGACATATCCAAGTATACTAATATACTTTTTTAGAAATGCCATAGAAATGTTCAAAAAACAACAACATCCACAGGCAATGAAGGCATGAAATGAAAGAAGAGACTTATGGGCTTGTACATTCTATGACAAGTATCATAAAAATAGGACTTATTTGTTTGCTGAACACAGTTTATCACTGGCATTGATGAAGTTCTTTAGGAAATAATCAGTATGTGATTGCATAACGTTACAGAAGTGCATATGCTGCTGTACAGATGTAGAAGATTTTACAAATACCTGTAACTCTTATTATCACTGGTTGTTATTTTTTTTTTCTCCCTCTCCAAGTACTTCACTCTGTCATCCTTGCAAATAATTGGTGCAAGTGTTGCATTGGATTACTTTTATAGGAACAAACAATTTCCTTTTTCATTTCAAATGGATTTTTTTTTTTAATAGGTAAAAACATACCGATAGGTTTTATAGCTGCTACTAAAAAATCTCCTAATCTAGTTTTAGGATGATTCTTTTGTCAACTTACAGCATTTTACATATCATTGCCTGCTTTTATACCGCAAAGCTACATTCTTTTTTCTCTATTAAGAGAGAGTCTTTCATAACACTGGAAGACTAACAAAGACACAGATAAAGAATTTTTGAGAGACCATAAATATTTTAACTCAAGTTATTATACAAAGTAACAATGAAACTGTAGTTATTTTGATACAAAAATATACAGTGAAAAAGTTAATTATTAGAAAGAACTAAACATGCATGAGGGAGCACTATGGCTTCAAAGACATAAAGGAATGAGTAACATATTCCATTATGTAAATGAATTCAAAGATATTTCAGGACTGATCAGCTAGGAGGGACATAATGATTTATAATTCAAATAACTGAGCTTTGAAATCAAATTGGGCTAATATATTTCGAAATATGCAAACCTGGAATAATTGTGAAAGTAATGTAAACCATGACACCAGCTCCAATCATTTGTTGCCTTTGTTGTTAATAATGTCCTATGTTTTTTTCATTTTTTTCCTCCTCTACTATACAGTACAGCTACTGGGATTATTATTTGCTTTTAATTCTAGATTATCCTTTAGAAAAAAAAAAAGGGTATTAAACACACACACACAAAAAATACCAATTTTGAAGACTGTCTGGAAGCTGATTGACTTACAGGACAAGTACTGAAATTAAATAAATTATTATTTTAACCTTTCAGGCTAGCCACAATTTAATCTATATCAAATACTGAAAATTGATCCACTGGATCCAGCATCTTAACAATACTCTGTTTCTTTCAAAGCAATATATACCTAATACCTTTAAAAAAAAAACTAATATAATGTGAAAAGGCCAAAGTTTGCAATGCCAGGAAGTAGTTATAAACTACTTCATATGTTTGAAATAAAAAGTACTTCAGTATTATTATTAAAAAAAAACTATTGGTAGAGTTTTTTATAGGAAAAAAATACATATCTTTAAAAGCCAAAATGACCAGTGAAATTGGGTTGTACATCATTTTCTGGGAAAAAGGAAAAACAGCCTCGACAGGTGTAATTTATCATTTTTCTGATTTAATACCAAAGAAATATATTAAAATAATAAAAAGAATCCTGAAATCCTCAAAATTTGTAGTGATAAATAGCCCTCCCTGTCTTTATTGCATTATGCCTACTAACAGAAATATTGCATGGTGGATTTTGCCAGACAAGGACGATTATTTTCCAATAAAAAGTTGCATATTAAATTCCAGCACAAAAGTGGGTGTCTAATACTTTTGAAATCTTTTATGGTTTGCCATGGAACACAATTTTAAACTTAACTAATACAACATCACAGTGAAGTGAACCAGCATTAAAGCTGCCTTTGTACAACCCCACCCATCTAAGCAGAAAAGCTGCTGTTCTCAGAATTTGAAGTATTTCCATTGAAAAATAATTGAATACATTTTTGGTATTTATGTTTTCAGTTAATCTCACTTTTTACTAGTCTTTAAACATTTCCAATGAGGTTTAAAATGTATATTTATGAAGGCAGTGCTGCTTTACATCCTAACTATGCATAGGGGTCTGAAACTGCTCTTGCAACAGTTAGCAAGTTTCTGCAAAGAAAAATACAATTTCATCACAATTTTATTCTTCAGGAGAGCTTGGGTTATTAAACATCTATTTTTTCATCCTTTCTAGGTCCTGATATTATTATGTCTATTTCATGCGCAGAAACTCATTTACTGCAAATATAATTTGAGTAATTTGAAAACTAAAACTATCAAGACATTTCAGCCTTGGAAAAGTATTATTTACGTCAGTAGTTTATACTGACCCCCATTCTTGAGAGCTAGCATGTGAATAAATGCCTTAGAAAGCGTCCATAATACAATACGAAATGCTAGATGCCTGTTGGCTTTAACAATAACATCAGGCTGATTATTTCAGCATGTACACATGTATGAATAAATAAGCAAGCATTGTAAGTTAGGGGCACCATGTTAAATTTCTTGGTTACTGTTATGTTTTGAACCCTACTGAAGCTGTAAGTATATCCCATAAAAGAAGAGAAAACTCATTAGTCTCTTCATAAATCTTATTAATGAAGTAAATTCCCTTCTGTTTTTGTAAAAATTTTTAGTAAAGTTTCATTTTCAAGTCCTTTCCAGTCCTATTTCTGTGATGCCATGAGAACATAAACATGCATATTTAAGAATATCTCGAGTTATCTGTTTAATGGTATGTCAACGTACACATTGTTTGATTTTCACTGAACAAAATTCACTTACAGAATGTGGAAAGCTACAATCATCTTTCAACCCAAGGAAATATATTAAAATTCTTCTTATACGATTAGAATTCTATGGAGAAATAAAATGATTCCAGTCGTCATATTCCACCTGCCTACCCCTCTGCTTGTCTAACAATTAATCTTCTCTAGAAAACTACTGAAAAGTTGTTTTTATTTTAAAACAGCAAAGGATTTCACTATTGAGTGTTTTCATGAGCTCTGGTGGTTTATTATCTGTTGTATACCTATACATATTTTGTCACAGCAAAAATAACTACCACTTTTAAAAAAAATCTTCTTGCTCAATTCACTGAAAATTCAAAGAATGAAGAATGATCATTTTTAGAATCACAGAATGGCTTGGGTTGGAAAGGGGCTTAAAGATCACCTAGTTCCAACCCCCCTGTCATTCTAGGGATGCCATCCACCAGACGAGGTTGCTCAAAGCCCCATCCAACCTGCCCTTGAACACCTCCAAGAATGGGGCAGCCACAGCTTCTCTGGGCAACCTGTGCCAGTGCCTCTCTACCCTTTACAGTGAGGAATTGCTTCCTAACGTGTAGTCTAAATCTATCATCTTTTAGAATCATAGAATGGTTTTAGTTTAAGACCAATTCCCCTTGTCCTATCATGATCGACCTGAGTAAAGAGTCCCTCTCTATTCTTTTTATAAGACTTCTTTAAGTACTGAAAAGCCACAATGGGGTCTCCCGGAGACTTCTCTAGGCTGAACGTCTCCAGCTCTCTCAGCCTTTCTTCACAGGAGAGGTGCTTGAGCCCTCTGAGCATCTCTGTGGCCCTCCTCTGGACTTGCACGAACAAGTCCATGTCCTTCTTGTGCTGACAGCCCCAGACCTGGACGCAGGACTCCAGGTGGGGCCTCACGAGGGCAGAGCAGAGGGGGACAATCCCCTCCCACCCCTGCTGCCCACCTCTCCGTGATGCAGCCCAGGATGCAGCTGGCCTGCTGGGCTGCAGACGCACACTGCTGGCTTGTGTCAAGCTTTTTGTCCACCAGAACCCCCAAATCTCTCTCCGCAGGGCTGCTCTCAGTGTGCTCTTCTCCCAGTCTGTACTCCTGTCTAGAAAAGATGCCCCAGTTCCACCCCCCCTGCCATGGGCAGAGACACCTCCCACTAGATCAGGTTGCCCAGGGCCCCATCCAACCTGGCCTTGAGCACCTCCAGGGATGGGGCATCCACAGCTTCTCTGGGCAGCCTGTGCCAGGGCCTCACCACCCTCAGTGTAAATATTTTCCTCCTTCTATCTAATCTAAACCTACCCTCCTTTTGCTTAAAGCCACTATCCCTTGTCCTATCACTACATACCCTTACAACGGGTCCATCCCCATCTTTTCTGTAGGCCCCCGTTAGGTACTGGAAGGCCACATATCCTATTCTTCTCCAACTAAGGAGACACAAGTGAATATTAGAACAAGTTACAAAAAATTTGCAACAGATAGCAAGTCAGCATCAATGACTTGGGAAAAAATTTCACATACTAGAACCCAGACAAACATCCTTATGCAAAATTGTGGCTTTCTTCAGTGCTAATGATGACTCTGACAGAGTGAGGAACTTCCAGTCAGGCAAAAATAAAACATACGAAGAGGCCTGCATTTAAAATCTGACTCGTGCTTCTTTTCTTAGTTAACTCATCCTTAAAGTAGAACAAATCCTGTTCCCAGCTGCTTACAGAATCAACCCTGTTCTCAATACTGTTGAACTCATCACCAGTATTGACTTCAAGATGATTCTGAATGGGATAGATAACCGTAAGCAACTAGTTATATTTTTCATTTGCTGCTAAGAAGTATGTGAAAATAACCCTGCCTTTGAAAAAAACAGTAACCATGCAGAGGAAAAGATAAAGCAAAACAAATAAACGTTAACATCCTAATTGGTTTTAAAATGTGGCACATAAAACAACAACAAAAATCTCATTAAATTTTACCTTATTAATTGCAAATTGTGTCATATACAATAAAAAGGATATCCAACTGAAAGGTCATTTAGAAACTGAAGAGTTCTTAAAATCACAGACTCACATCTTCCCCGGTATTTAAGATTTGTAACACTAGAATAAAAAAAAAAAAAAAGTGATTTTTTAAACACAATTTTCTCTTTCTGAGAATTGCCATACAAAAGCTCAAACTAGTAGAGCACTATACTATGAATATATTCCTGTGATAAGTCTTAGGATTTTCCATTTATAAGAGAGAAAATGTTATAAAAGTATGCCCGATGTTTTTATCCTGAACAAGTGATTCAAGCATCTTATAATCCTGTAACAAATATCCTAATTAAAAAAAAAAAAGTAAAAAACAATATTCCTTTATTATTTGTAATAATTAAAAGAAGCTTACCCTGACTTATATCTATCTCATTTTTCTGCGTAAAATCTGGCCACTTAGCTTCGGCAGTATCTATCAGCCTAGTTCTCCATGAGATAAAACCAAATTGCTATAATTCCCCTTCAGCACAGGAAAAATAGGGTACAGAAAAACTAGAGGGACAGATCCAATGAGCGGGATCTGCTGCACCCAACTCCCAGTGAAATTCTGCATTATGGTTCTTATACCAATCCCTATTTACCTCTTCCCTCTTTCCAATACCAAGCACTTAACTAACAGTGAAGATACTCAGGGGATACTTAATTTCCCTAATTGCAACCCCTCTCAGACACTGGCATTTTGGAAGAGTATTCTCTTATTAATGAGCCAACACAAATTATGATCTAGGGTAACACTAGACATATTACCAGTCCCTGGGGACCACCAACCATGTACAACATCTTCCCATTTTTGGTGACAATGACTTGCTCTACTACCTTCCAACAGGTTAACTGTGAGACTTGACACCTACAGCTAAGAGCTTCTACAGCTTCTTCTATACTGTATGCAGGGCAGCACAAAGACACCTAAGTGACCTGGGATGGCATCTGCTGTTTGTTCAGCTACTAGACTTAGTTAGGAGGTGAAAAGGTGTCAGAAGCCTTCAAATGAAAGAGGTAAATTGAAGCCTGTTAACTGGAGGAATGGCATTTTTCTCAAGTGAGAAGCGGTTACAACAGTAAGTTAAGTCACTGATCCTGTAGTCGGGCATCTGCTAGCTTTCTTAAGGGAATGTCACGCAGGTCAGCATCAAGAATCTTACCGAAGCCCAAATGTTCGATATTTCATGTTTTGGTTGTACATTCCTGCCAGAAAGTCCAAAAAAAATTAACACAAAAAAGTAGCCGAAATGCACTGATCACAATTATAGACCAACTACCAGTAAAACTTTTTTTTAAAAGTAAAACTTTTTCTAGTACTCCTCTGAGAATCCCATTCAGGCTGCCTGGCCTAGAACAGGTTGCTTGCTCCTCGCTGCCTTTTTTGAAGGCAAGTACTGAGCCCTGCTCTTCTGGGAACATTCACTCCCACCTTATCAGAAAGCCATAGGGAAGTTGAATATCCCCTTCCTTCAGATGGAGAGAGAATGCTGTGTAAGAGAGAATGAGAGCACAGTTTCTGATACTGGATTCATCTGGAGAAATAGAAAATCTATTCCTGATCAACGCAACAAATTCCTAGGGTCTATCTCAAACTCCCAGGTGATGAAGAACACATGTAAGTAAATTTACACTAGTATGCCTCTGTTTCCTTGTCCACAGAATAAGTGTAACAATTCTGACTGTAAGCTGTCAGACCTATTGATGAAAGTTGATGATCTAAGAGGCATAATCAGCACCAGCTATTTACACAGTGAAGCAGTAGGATTTAAATTTTGGGAATGGAGGACCTCAAGATGAGATGTTCAGTGCCATAAAATCAGCGCTGATTATTGCCATCTTTTACATATACACAGGCTAAGGAATGCACTGTACCACATACACTAAACTTCTTTTTCAGGAAGTTATAAACTCAAGAACGCAGGTTAGGGCATCTGACTGTTTAGTATTATTTGCTCAGGAAAAGGCAAATAACAATGCAATTACTAAAGCAGTATTCTTCAATTTATATTTGCAAACAAACATTGATTTACTTAACAAAATCTCTATGAAGAGCTACAGAGGTTCAAATTGCCTTAAAGAAATAGCCCATTCTAGCAAGTCCATAATTCATAGTTTATCCCTACTATGGGGAGTTCTGGAGATGTTTATAGTTGCACTAAATCCTTAACAAGTATATACCATACAATGCAATAAAAATGAATTTGGACTATCCAGATGTGACATCAATATCAAAATCATAAAAAGGCTACTTTGCAAAAGAGCAAACCCCTTGTCCTTCAGTAGCTAAATGTGAGACGTTTAAAGAAAAACAAGAAGTCACAGCAACAGCTTGAAGATAAAATTAAAACTATATGAGGAAGGCTCTTCAACATTTCATGACTTTTTTTTTTTTAAATTGTCTATCTTCTCATGTCTGTATTTGGATGTTGCAAGATAGAGTAATAATATAAAAGCTAGAGAAGTACTCAAGAAGAGAGGCTGAAAAAATTCCATTATAATCTCAGCAGTTCCCATTTTTGTTTTTGCCTTATCAATAGCAGACAATATGAAAGGCACATAAAATGTAGTACTTTCAGAAACATCTGTGAAAGAGTTTAAGTATCTGAGAAAATTTGTAAAGATCCATAGAGGAATCTCAGAATACAAAAAGTGATTTTCCACCATTAAAGGAAGAGAAACCAAGGAATGAAAGAGGAGAAAAAATTTACAGCTCTCACAGAAATCTTGGCAAGACAGCTCTTAAATCCAAGTGCTGGTGTCCTTGTCTCCTCTCTCAAGTGGCTTATTGACTTAAAATATGAATTAAGTCAAACTGAGTCAGAGCAACCTATCATGAAGTTTCAAATGAGTCACAGAAAGTCAAAATTTCATCAAAAGCTACACCAATCCAAATTAACAGAAATGTCTGTGGTTATAAGCAGCACTGAACACATTTTAAAGGCAAATAAAAGAAAAGAGGTAATAAAAAGCAGCAAAATATTTGCAATTTTGATAACTACACAGCATTAAAATACTGAACTAGGTGCAAAAAAATGAATAAAGCTATGAGAATTTAAAAAATATTAAATGAAACACCATTACGAATCCAGTATACTTTCAAATATTTGCTTTTAGTTTACCTTTTTGTAAAAGGTAAACTAGAATAAAAGCCTAGCTTCTAAAAGCTACACCAAAGAAGGTGAAACTTCCCATTTTCTCCCCTTAGAACCCTCCAGTTTGCTCTGAGACCTCCCCTGTCACCATCATTGCTTACGAGTGCAGTTCTATCAGTGCACCAATCACCCTTGTGACTTAAAAGTACAACTTTAGAGGTTTTCTGTTTTAAAATCTAAAATAGAGAAGAACGGGAAGGCAAATAGTGATTGTATATGCCAATTTACAACTCTCTGGGAAAAGCTTCATCCATCCACAGAAGAATCAAAATTCTTTGCACATTCCAAGTCATTATGACAGTTGAAAAAAAAATAAATAAGGCACCGACATCCACTTCCAGCCCCTTAAATCCATTTTGTGACATTTTTGTTTTCTAACCCATTTTACTGTCCTTAATTTCCTGCCCTGTCCTTACTGTAATAGCTCTTATGGAAGTTGAGGACTGGAAATAATGCTGGTGGAGCACAAGAATGGGATGCCCAGCTTAGAAGACAGAACTGAAAAATGTACAACACAATTTTAAAAAGAAAATTTTGGAAGAAAACAGAGAATCAGGGATAGAAGATAAAAAAGCAAAAAGCTTTTTTTTTTTCCTTTTTTTTTTCTTTTTTTTAAATGAAAGCGTGAAGTCAGCAAAGAATAGGGACCAGAGAAAATCCATCTGGCCACATGGATGGTCAAAGATATGTTGCTACCCAGCCGGAAGAGATGACAATTGCTGTAAACCAGCACATTTGGAGATTTCTTTTTAAATAATAAAAACAAAAACAAACGAACAATTAGAGCAGAATTAGAGCAAATTAGAAATCCTGAATCATGTAAATTTAGGAATAGCCTTTGTCTCAATAATACAGATATACCTGTGTTATAGAAATCAAAAAGACAAAAAGAATCACACAATTTAAACTAAACTTTCAAAGATGCTTACGGTGTCTGCTACCAAACTGACATTAAAAAGTAGGAGAAATAATCATCCAAATCCCCTAAAAGAACTTTGAAAATATCTTCCTTGCGTGATAATTGTGTTTCAGTAATAATGAAGACAGCAATTTGTTGGGAAGAAGGCTCCGTACAGTCATGTTTTAATTATTTCTTGTACATTATCATCATTTACAATAAAAGCTCTCTGTGGCTCAATGACAGTGATTGGATATATACTTTTCATTAGAGCTGGACAAAGGTGAATAGTTAAAAAAAAAAATAAAAAAATACACATACTGTTATGAATAAAAGTGCCAAGTTTTAGTTTGCTGCGATTCATGGAATTGTGCAAGTTCTGAGTGTTCAGAAAAATACGCAGAGATTCAGACTTTTTATGCTTATACTAGAATTTACACACTACATGGAAAAATCTCACTATTTATGTATGTGTGTGTGTATCCACCACAGTGAAATCATAACAGCAGTTAAAAGTTCCAACAGCAGTGTTGGATGCACATCTTTCATTTATGTTTCAGTTATTTTATCATGTTATACCAAAAATACTATGCATTTGGGTGAACATTCTGTTAATCTACCTCATGAAAATCACTTCCACATATATTTGATAATAACTGAAAGGAACCCTGAGAGGCTTACAAATAGTTTTTGAAGGAAAGGAAAGGTGCTTGCTGCCAAAATAAATAAAAGACAATTAGGACCAGATGCCCAGGAGAGACTCAAGGAGCAGATGGAACTAAAACTACCCCAGTCTAAATGTCTCCTCGCCTCTTACCTATACAGGGAAGGATCAAGACAGGTGGGTAGCTACTGCTCGAAAAGATGACCCACAGAAGAAAAGAACTGCTGTCGTTTCTGGGTACAGTGCCTCACTCCTTGCCAAAAGAGTCCTGGCCTGAAGCCACTTCCCAGCAGGCCAAGAGGAATACGTGACACGGCTGTTCTGGGAGGAAGCAGGAGTAAAAAGGATGGAGCTGGAGACAGACAGAAGATCAGCATGTGGCTTTGAAAACCAGTACCCTGGGTGAACAGGCTAGGCAAGAGAAAGTTTAAGGAGCCAGACTGGGACCTTAGGTCATAGCCCTCCAGAATCTCATCATCCCCTGCAGCCCTACTGCCTCCTTCAAAACCCCTTGGTTCCCCTTTACCTGTTTTCACCCGCACCTTCCTCCTCCCAGCTTAACCTTCCTTGAACCTGCTCTGCTCTTGCTACAGAGTTGCTGAACATGGCTAAGAAGGCTCAAGGTGCTTTGCATATTAGAAAAATTTGGTTTGAGGCTAGGTATTTTTTCAGCTGGCTTTTCCCCCGTCACATGTATACCATTTAAGATGATGGTCAAAGCAAGCAAGGGCAGTGATGTTAAAAGAGGTACTCAATAAATTTCTGCTAAGACTATGATGAAAATACAGCCATTAACAGATAATCTGCCTACACAAAACTTTACCCCTCCAGAAACAATTTAAGATGAACTCAGTAAAAGGTACATTCATTAGCTTCCAATGGAAGTGTAATAAGAAGTCTAGGACCTGATGTGACAGCAGCACTTTAACTACTGTCAAAAGATCTAAAGGGCAGCTATTATATTGATATATCTCAAAATATTTCTGTACTTTGGAGAATACCTATTTAATGCAACCTTTAAACCATAAACTGATCAGTAGCTACTGCAGCTACAAGTAGCTACAGCAAGAAGCATTTCAAATTGTTTTCTGTTAATGACAGAATTCAATGAGGGTGAGTTAACATCTTAATGTTTTATAAAAGTGTATTTTAAGAGAAAAAGGTGAATGATTTAATCACTCGCGTATCCTGTCCACTGCTCTTCAAATGTGTTAAGATTAGAGTCAGTAACAAATCATCAAAAATGCTGCCAGACTGGATTGCCCCATCAGACTCTACTTGTCGGATTATGAATCAGTATGTTTGGGTTTCACACCCAGGTTTTCCAATCGACATGCTATCACTGGGAAGAAGCTAGTTTATTAATTAGCACAAACATGAGTGTGTTTGGACAACAGATTCACAGCCAGCTCTTAAAGATACTGACTGAATTGTCCAATTCAAGCTGTAACATTCATTCTGCAAAACAAAAATGATCTTCAATCTGATCAATGAACAATTCATAAACTGCATGTTTTGAAAAAAATACAGTAAGCCACAGAATAAGAGAAAATACTAACACAGAATGTGTAATCTAAAAAGCAGCTCTGAGTTCTGCTTTTTATTTACCTGGTTTTCCTTGTAAAAACCTCCATGTAACGTTAAAACACTATCTTCTCTTGATTTACAGTGCTTGTGCAAAACGAGCCACATCTAAGCTAAACACAGGTAGTACATGTACTTATCATACTTGTTAAATGATATACTGCTATTTCCTCAATTAGCAAGTGCAACATGGATTTCCTTGCAATGGTATGAATGAGTACAAAAAGGGAACAAACTGATTCATCTGGTCTCCATACAAAAGTCCTCTTCTCTCCTTTTTCTCATTTGCTCAGGTTTTACTGTATTTTGAAAACAACAAAGTGAAGCCTAGCTAATTCTACGTCATGAAATGCTTCCAGAAACTCTGCAGTAAATATCTATCAATATTTTTCCTTTCATCACCCTCATTTACCTGTCTACAACGCATTCTCTGCATAAATATCAAGGTTTGATGGGTACTATTGTTATCCTAGGGCAGGATGCAACACTCAGCTTCTGGTTTAGAGGAAGCAAAACATTTATGCCTTGTTTTCCATATAGAAGTTAAACCACATTAGCAAATGACCTTGTCTTAATTGCTTCTGTTTCTCAAGGTTGGTAGTCATGGCAGCAAAAGACAAGTTCATGTTTAATACTGTCCAAACAGGTCATGGCTAACCTGGCAATGCCAGAAGAGATGCTTCCCTAGTAGGTCTAAGTCCACAGAAAATATTTAAGGGTTATATAGGTCAGATTGAGGGGACATGAAGTTAATGACAGGATGCAATGTTTTCCTCACCGTAGAATGAAGACCTAAAGTACTCGTTTCTCTTTCTCCTGGCACACACACAACTCATTGTCTCCTGGAACTTCCCAGATTTTTTAGTGGATATTCATAACTGTTTGGAGTTCATTTTGTTTTGAATTGAGAAAAAAAAAAAATTTAGATGGAACTTCTGACTCAGAAGAAATTCTGAGGTTCCACTAAGGACATAAGTAATAAAAGAGAAAATCCTATAAGTTTTTTTGGACCTATGGACTGCAATAGAAGCACAAGAAAAAGAGCAATTCTCTAGGTTTATTCTTCAGAAGTACTGCAATACTTGTCTGCCAGAAAAACGCACCATCTTATCTCTGAGATGAGAACGACTGACAATAATGCCCCTCGTAACCTTCGGTATGAGTCCTTAAAATCTTTCCATGTGAATCCATACTTCTAAGAGCAAGGTTTACCAGATCTTGCCAAAAAGCAAATCAAACAAACCTCCCCAAAACAAAGAACGATTAGCTTAACTTGGTCAGCTCTCTGCCGCGAATCATGCTGAAGCTTCACAGGTAATTCTACTGGCATCTGAGGGTGCAGCAATGAGAAGCTGGGAATGGAGGGAACTGCATATTCCAGGACTGTCCCTGAACAAGTATCTACGAAATTTCAGCTTTATCCTCCCATAAGCCATTTCTAGAAGTGATGCAGGCACTCTGGAGTACCTATCTATCTCTAAGTGTTTATTTAGAGGCCTGCAGTACTTACAGAAAATAAGATAAGGGTGCTTTTAAAAATAGTTATTCCTTACTTGAAATATTTAAAATTTACAGAAGACATTATTCTAGCAGAAGGCAAACTTAACAACATAAAATAAAACACAGATTTAAAGTAAACATTAAAGACAAAACAAAATACATATAGAATAGAACCCAAGGATAAACTCACATTTTTGTCATAAACGTTTCTAGAACATGGTTGTCATCTGTTATTCCTAAGACTTCTGACATTCGGGCATACACCTGGAAATAAACATTTCAACAGTAACATATTATAGACATTCACAAGAACCAGCAGTTTAATTTATTCTAAAACCTTTCCCTATTTTTGCAGGAGAAAAGTACAGGCACACATGCCTGCTGTTCCAATCTAGCTAAAGCATTTGTAAGAGATCATTTACACACTGTATGATGTGGTTTGTGAATTTTGGAGCCAATCAGCTTTTAAGTGCCCTTGCAAACATTTCTTCCCACAAAAGAGAGAGAAAATTTTCACATTAAACTCACTTTATGGTTCACAGAACAAACCTGTCTCTTTTCAAAAAAGTGTTTTATAACCGACGTTGCAAGGGGACAGAGAAAACATTCTTTTGTTCGTCCCTGTCCTCAGTGGGATACGATTCAGCACTGTCCCTTAGCTTTCACTTTCACGTTGCTGCACTACCAGTCACAAACTAGAGAATCAGGTACTCCTCAGGCATTCAGTTTTGTGTTCTCCCTTCCTGGGGCAGCCAAGTAACTTCTAGTTGTATACTTTTTCCCTCTGCTTCAGATCCATGAGAAATTACCAGCCGAGTTTTCCAGCACCCCACCTACCAGGTCACACTGCTGTTATGATGCAGCAGCAAACACACAGCACACACCAAGTGTGATTTTTTACTTACTGTGTAATCTTCATACAGTTTTTTAGTAGTTTTAGTAGCCAAACATTTAGTTCGGATAAAAATGTTTACTTGGATTAAATCAACTTGAGAAATAAAAGGGAAATGAGCACTGCAAAACTTCTCAATGCTCTGCAACTCACTCGAGCCTGAGCTCAAGTAGCACTGCTATTTGCTTACGACTAGGCTAAATGCAGGTCGGTACATTTCATTTCGGTCATTTCAACCTTTAGTGATACTAAAACAAGTATTATGGGTTACATGTAATTCTTCCGCATTACATGATCGAGTCAAGTATCACCAAGGTCTGAAGCGCAGCACCGAGCCCAGCACAGGCAGCCTCAGTTCCCCAGCAGTGAAAGCCTGGTGCCATCTAGCTGTCAATTTTGTTCGCCAGCATTATATATTCTACACAAATACCAATGAATGTTAGATAACTTAATACCTATGTTACTGTATCTAAATTTGCTTGTACCAACTTCTGTTCTGCTACTGATGCAATGCTACAACTTTGGTTAAAAAGCAAACCAGCAGTATTCTACCACAGCAGAAGTCAACAAAAAAAAAATAATAATTGTATTTTCATGTTCCCAAAAATTCAGTTTTGAATTGGAGCATAATGAAGGCATGAGCAAATCAACTTGCAGCTGTAACCAGAAATTGCATCAACATCAAGGATAATTTACTTAACTTGTAAGGTAAAATATCACCTTTTGTAATTGCATGAATGCAGTGTTCTGTGACAGAAGTCAGTAGCGAAAGGACAATCAAAATATGAAAAAAGGAACATACTATTTTTCAAACCTTGCAAAATATCATATTCACACTGTAAATGCAAAGCTACGATTTGCAGTAAACCGCAGCTACAATAACACATTCAAGTATAAAATTCCTATATTCCAATCTAAGGAAAAAAAAAGCATCCCTAACCAGCACACTGCTGAAATGGAGCAGCTGCAATTTTAGCGACATCTCCGAATTCCCTTCCTCGGGAAGGGGAAGGAGATGGGGAAGGAAAAGGGGAAGGAGGAGGGAAAGCAGCCGGGTGAGTGCGACGGGAGCACTCTCTCTGTTGGCAAACGGGGCTCTAAGCCACGGCTGAGTTTAACAAATAAATACTAAACCAGCAGTCAGTGTTGACAAAGAGCAGTGCTTTAATCCACAATTATCCTTGTAACTCTTACTACTCCTTTTATCATCCATTAGCTTTGATTCCCATTATCCCATCAAGAACTGTGTCAACGCTTTTGTCCCTGGGGATTTCCCACAACTACTAGGATCTGACAGCCAAGCTTGAGTGCTAAGCAGGATCATTACCTCTTAAATCCACTTATCTGATCCACTGAATAGTAAATTGAAAAGCTCATTAACAGCAACAATCTGATTTGTTTTCGCATGTGACAGGGTCATTTCAAGTCAGCATGAATACAGTGCTGGTAATAAAAACTACTACCCGGTCTGTAATGTGACAAATTGCAAGCTAAAATAAACGTGATATTTTAAACACCTTCTTCAAAATCATTTTCAAACCGAAACACACTCTTAGGATGTAAAAATAGAAGAGCAAACAGCCCCCAACCACAACAATGAAATGCCCTTAGACTTTTAAGCGCTATAAAAAATTAATGATAAAGCATTTTGGACAGATCATAATAAAAAACACTTCAGCAACAAAGACCGTGCTACGTATTCAAAAGGAGGAGGAAAACACTGTTGAAAGGGGTCATAAAAGGATGTGGAATTGCATGTGGAAGTGATCTCATCCTTGTTCGCATCACGGAGCCGCGGAGGTGAACGCGGAGCTGGGGAGGCTGCGCCTGCGGGACCGGGACCGGGATGGGGACGTGCCCAGGCGCCCACCTGCTGGCTCGCCCCCAGCCCCGGCCTCCCCCTTCCTCCTGGCAGCGAGAAAGAAACAAGGCTATGTTTGCAGTTCCCCCCGGAGACTTCGAGTAAGGAGCAGGATAATTAACTTTCAGTAGGAAACAACCAGTTTAAGACTTCTGTAAAGCCTTTACACAATTATTCCCAAATCCTTACAACTGTGGGATTTGTAGCTTCCAATACAAACCCTGCATCAACACACAGCGCTGGGCGAGCATGCTGTGGTATCGCCACAAAATGTGAGCTTCTGAACCATCAAATATCACATCACTATCATCATCTCAATGTACATGGGTTATGAATTAAAGTGAGAAATGCACAGAAGTGGTAACATGAGGCTACAGCGTTAGGTAAGCTTCACGGGTACAAGCACTTAACCAAAGCCCTTAAAGCAAGCTGGGCTGATACCACCACGTCAACCCAAAAGCAACAGCACTGGCTGCAACACTCACAGGTGACAGCAATAGTCATGGGAGTGATGATAAGGAAAAGACCAGCAAAACACCTTCAATAACAGTTTCAAACATATTAAAGCAAAAAATCATGGAATTGGTCAGGCTGGAGGAGAGCTGTGGGCTCACCAGGCCCAGCCGCCCCCGACTGAGTGCCCCCACTGAGCCGTGTCCCCAGGCACCACGTCCACACGTCCCTTACACACCCCTGGGGTGGGGACCCCCCCAGTGCTCCGGGCAGCCCGTCCCAGCGCTCAGCCACCCTCTGCAGGACCAAATTCTGCCTGAGGCCCGCTCTGGGCCTCCCCTGGTGCAAGTTGGTGCCATTTTCTCACGTCCTGCCACTTGTCACCTGAGGGAAGGGACCAACAGCCTCCTTTCAGGTAGTTGTAGAGAGCAACGAGGTCTCCCTAAACCTCTTATTCTCCAGACTAAATGACCCTAACACCCTCCATCAGTCGCTTTTCCTAAGTCTTGTTTTCTATCCCGTCCACCAGCTTCCTTGCTCTTTGCTCCACTTCACAGAATGGTGAAATAGATTTGTGAATAGATGTATAAAATGAAAGGCACCTCGGTGGAATTGGGGTGTTTAAGGGAGCCAGCAGGTTCACCAGCTCTGGAGCCCGTGAATCTTTTACCAGCTAGCAGCTTTACCAGTTATCCAAATCGCATAACCTTACACTTCCCATCTACTTGAACCCCACCTGCTGCATTTCAAAAAGAAAGAAAATAAAATTGTGGAAGCAACACTTTATAAAGCAAAACATTTGCATGTAAATACAACTTCAAACAGAGAAATAATGTGGTAATTACACTAAAACTTTATTTTCTGACTTCTCTACTCTTTGGCCCTAGATATGTTTAACTTTGCTTTGTCTTTAAGGTCTTCTCTTTTTGGTGCTATCGTTATAACTCTGAAGAAGCTAATTATGTCAATTCTTAAATGTGAAGCAGATTACAGAACTGGGAAGCTCAGAATATGAGTTCCTAAAGGTTGTATGGCTATATAATGACAGTCACAGAAATTCAATAACAGCACTGTATGGAATGTACTCAAACGCACCCCATGAAACAAATTAAAACAGAGCAATGAATCTCTCACACTGTGCAAATAAGAAAACACAAGAAAATGTTGGTTTCTATATGTTTCATAAGGGCTATTATAATGAATTAAGATTTTGGATAATGAATCTTCAGAAAATTACAGTAAAGTTATTACCCGTAGGCACAGCATAAATGCTTAAGATATTATAACTTCCTTGAAGCTCTGCAGGCCTTGCTGCAGAGAACTATCAGTGTAACATTAAAGTATTTTGTCATGAATACAGAGGGCAAAACCAGACCTTAACCATATTTGCTCCAAAACTGATAGCAACTGCATGGAGACAGCTGCTGCCAAAGAGGTTGGCGTGGCTAGGCTGGAGAGCAGCTCCCCACACAGCCCACCCCAGTTCTGCAGGCAACTCGCCCAGTGTCTGGGCTACCACAGCAGCTTCCTGGAGGTGCCACCTCACCTCTCTAATACCTCTACACTAAACCCACTAAGTTCCATGCTAATCGAGACTTTCTTTCCAGGTATAATTTTCACTGATTTTTCAAATTGAAATCTGGTATTTTAAATTTTAACATGCAGAAGCTCCATTACATGCAATTTGGAAGCTAGATTTCTGCTGCACAATCAATGAGAAACTGAACTTAGTCCCCTAATTAATGGATCAGAGTGCCAGATCAACAACTTTTGCCTTCCAACCAAAGTAAGCCCTTAAAAAGCCTTCACTTTTTTTTATCTCATTCATAGCAGAGGAAACCTCGGTTGCTCATAAAGCCTCCACTCCTGACCAGCTGTCTGAAAAAGGTAACATCTCCAAACACTCCTAACTCTGAATCTAAGCCCAGAGGATAATCTGTTGTTATATAGTTAGCTCCCTACAAGAAAAAAATCCTTAATAGGCCTTAAGAACTTGCCTCAAATAGTTTCAGATGGGATCTCTGAAGGGCAGATGGAAGTTGGGCACTGCACTATACA